CCCTACCCTGTCTCTTCTCCCCCTCCTCCCCTGAGTGCGCGGCTTCCTGCTCCTCCCCCTTCCCTTCTGGAAAGCGCCCGGAGGTAGTCAGAGGAGCGGGGAGCGGCGCGCTGGTGGGGAGGAGCGGGGAGAGAAGTGGGTGAGGGGAGTTTGGCGGCCACAGGAAGTAAGTCCCGGGGGAGGGTGGGGAGCTTGGCGGGCCACAGCAAACAACTCCGCGGGCCACATGTTTGAGACCCCTGTGGTAATCATTTGTATGACCCTTCATGCTTCTGCCACCATTCCAGAGGACATGCTTCCATGCTGATGATGCTCGTTTAAAAAAAAAAAAAAGCGTTAATTAAATTTGTGACTGAACAGCTTGGGGGAGAATTGCATGTCTCCTGCTCTGTTTTGCCTGCATTCTGCCTTATATTTCATGTTATAGCAGTCGTGGATGATGACCCAGCACATGTTCATTTTAAGAACACTTTCACTGCAGGTGTCACAAAACTCAAAGAAGGTACCAATGTGAGATTTCTAAAGATAGCTACAGTACTCGAACCAAGGTTTAAGAATCTGAAGTGCCTTCCAAAATCTGAGAGGGACGAGGTGTGGAGCATGCTTTCAGAAGTCTTAAAAGAGCAACACTCCGATGCGGAAACTACAGAACCCAAACCACCAAACAAGAAAATCAACCTTCTGCTGGTGGCATCTGACTCAGCTGATGAAAATGAACATGCGGTGGTCTGCACTGTTTTGGATTGTTATTCAGCAGAACCCGTCTTCAGTATGGACGCATGTCATCTGGAATGGTGGTTGAAGCATGAAGGGACATATGAATCTTCAGTGCATGTAAATACCTTGTGATGCCAGCTACAACAGTGCCGTGCGAACACCTGTTCTTACTTTCAGGTGACATTGTAAACAAGAATCGGGCAACATTATCTCCTGCAAATGTAAACAAACTTGTTTTTCTGAGCGATTGGCTGAACAAGAAGTAGTTGCAGGCTCTAAAATTTTACATTGTTTTATTTTTGAATGCAGTTTTTTTGTACATAATTCTATATTTGTAAGTTCAACTTTCATGGTAAAGAGATTGCACTACAGGACTTGTATTAGGTGAATTGAAAAATACTATTTCTTTTGCTTATCATTTTTACAGTGCAAATATTTGTAATAAAAAATAAATATAAAGAGCACTGTATACTTTGTATTCTGTATTGTAATTGAAATCAATATATTTGAAAATGTAGAAAACATCCAAAAATATTTAAATAAATGGTATTAATTTAACTGCACTATTACTTTGTTTTAATTGCTTGACAGCCCTATTCTGGATTATATCATTATTATTATTTTCTATCTGTATTACCTAGGCCTAGTGCCTATGTTGTTGAAGCCTTTGGCTTGACAAGGGGTGTTACCTGCATGTTTTTCATTCTCCTCCATTTCTAAACTGCTTCTTAGATTCCTGGCATGATCCACAGAATTGAGAGCAGTAGTTATGCAGCTTTTACTGTATCTGTTGGATTTTTCCACACCTCTGTTGCTCTGCCTAAAGTACTTAAGAAAGTAGGCAATATACTACTGTTTGTTACAGGTATGGAGAAAGTGATCTGACCATGGGAGCATGAATAGATTTCTTACACCACTACCTTCCAATTTGCTGTTTGTAACTACCTATCTTGTCACATGGGAAAGAAGCGGGGACAGGGAGTTAAAGAGGAAGGAATAGACAGGAAGGATGGGAGGACAAAGAAAAACTACAGGTGGATTGGAAAGAATAGTTAAGAGTTGAATAGAGAGGGAAGACCTCAGAGAATAGATGGATGATGAGGGAGAGAAATAAGAGATGAGAAGGAAGAGCGATTAGGCATAAGAAAAATGTGAGTTCTACTATAAGTAACATAAGTAACACAAATTTTGTTTATTACAGGTAAGGTTGCAGTAGGGCATACCTCAGCCACCCTAAACCTTAAGAACATGGAAATAAACTTAGGGGAAATATTCAGTATTCCTTACTACCTTCATGTAGCCTTCAATACCACACTGCATTTACTTCCAACTGTGACAGATAAAAGCAATAGGCACTCCAACTTCATCAAACGTACACTTACAAGATTCTGCAACTCTGACCTCATATTCTTGTAACAAGAAACCATTACATCTGATATAATATTAAATATGATTTACAACCTTAAGATTGGAGAGGTCGCTGTTAAGGGTGTGTGTAAAAATTATGCAAAGGACATCTAGCAATTCATATTGATGATGATAAAGCAGATAACTTTGAAAGTTTAACATCCCTGCTTAAGCAAAACTTGGGTTTAGGCTTAACTCAGTTGTTGCTGCTACTCCACCATAATTCATGGTTGCATGATACATGTTAATTAACATGGATAAGAAGATAGGAAGGAAAGACAAGAATGGAGCTTGATTTGATTTTTGTTTTTTTGGAAATGTGGCAAGTCTAGTCTCGATGCTAGGCAGTTGGTGTACTGTGGCTGCTTATTATACTTAATGTGATTATTTCACTGTTACCACGTCCCACCGATTCTCTCTCCACAACTTTCCAATTTGCTGTTTGTAACTACCTATCTTGTCACATACAAAGATTGTAAGATGTTTGTGGTAGATATAGCATCTAGCATAAAGGGTTCGTGAATCCTGACTGGGGCCTCAAGGTGCTACTGCAATAAAAATCCTCCCTCATGGTGAAAAATCTTTGCATTCACAGCTCTCTTGTTCTGAAAACACACCCCACAAGTGGGGAGTGATACACTCAGTACATTCTATAGCATTAAAGAACTATTTTCTTTGGTAGGGTAAATAAATAAACACAATAGAGGACACACAACTATTGAACCAGGAATGTACATCTTCCAGTAGAAGCTGCTTGTTTAAAAAAAAAAAAAAAAAAAACAACCCCTCATAAGGCCAGTTCACAGGCTTAGTGTTTCTAGGGTAGCACACAGTTTTTTGATTTGTAAATATGGTGCATCCTTTCCTGGTCAGTTAATAGTTTCTCATTTTTCTTCTTACGCTTCTCAGCTTATGAAAGAAGCCCCCTTTTTTTTCCTAATTGGCTTGATTCATGTTACAATAGCACATTGAACATGTGAACTCCCTCTGCTGGCTTTGTAGTTAATCGTTCAAATGCTTTACCAAGGTCTGTACATTTCCTTGCAAATTGTTCATGCTGATGCACAAAAGAGTTCTATGATATGTTGTTTTAGAAACACAAGGGTGGAAAAATTAATTTGACAAAGGGAAAGGGGCATAATTGGTTAATATTTTTTTATTTCAAAGAAGTCAAGATCATTTTTACCCATCTAAAAGGTGCAGAACATAAGCTTTGTGTTCTTTCTCTCACCTCAAATCACACCTGTTTCTCTCAAAGGATCCATAAAGGAATTCCCTATCAGGTTAATGCAGCCTTTTGGTTATTGATAGGGTGCTCTTCTTCCTCTTAACTATTCGGAAGGAGAGGGATCTCCTTTATCCTGACTTGCCTGTTGCACGGCACAATATCAATTGTTTGACACAATACTTGTCAAATTTTCAAAGGTAGCCATTGATTTTTAGGTGCCTCAACTTTTTGGTGCCCATTTCAAAACAATTGGGCCTGATTTTCTGAGTTACTGAGCACCTGGAGCTCCTCTTGACTTCAGATGAGGTGTAGGTGCTGAATACTTAAGAAAATCAGACTCAAGATTTCTCAGGTTGGGTACCTAAAAGTGGATATTTTGAAAATTTAGATCTAGTGCTTGGTACTTGCTCTGATCTGATATACATTTATCAGGTAGAGTGAGTAGCAAGCTTTGTGGTTGATGCTGTGCCCTAGTCCAGGCAGAGACAGCAGTGAGCACCAATTAAATGTGCTCCATCAGCAGACTTGGTGGTTTTGGAGTAGCATGAACAGTGTTGCATACTTTGGGCATGGGGCTCTTTGGTAGATTAGAAAAGGAGTTTGAGAAACAGTTCTGTGGTCTAAAATGAGGTAGGCATGATAACTTTCCTTCCTTCCTCCCACACAGTACATATTTCAGTACATAGTAAGTAACAGAGTGATTAAAAAGTAAAGCAATGTTTAATTTGTTTACATTTAATTTAATATTAATGTAGAATTTTATCAGATCTTCTTTTATAGTTGAAAGTACAGATTTACCCTCACGTCCACCTAAGTCAATGTGTTTGCTTTATAACTGCAGTGTACACAAATGCTGCTTTGCGGATATAAATTCTTAGACATACAAAGTCATTGTGAGTTCAGAAATGTCCATTTAACAGCTTTATAAATTACAGAGATAAGGTGGGGGAGGTAATATCTTTCATTGGACCAACTTCTGTTCATGGTGAGAGAGGCTTTTGAGCCACACAGAGGTGTGTGATCTGAAGAAGAGCTCTGTGTGGCTCGAAATCTCTCTCTCATCATGATCAGAAGTTGGTCCAGTGAAAGATATTACCTCACCCACCTTCTCTCTAATATCCTGTGACTAACACGGCTACAACTACACTTTATTTTTTACAGTAGAGTGGTAATTCCCTAGCTGTTTCTCTATATTGGTCCCATTTAGGCAAAAGGATGGAATGCTTTTGAAATAAATTGGTGTCGCTTGTGGTTAAATAACGCTAAAAATAGTCACACTACAAAAGATCTGATATAATTGAAACTGGTAGAGGAATTATTTGTTTCTGTTATAGTTGTTTCTAGACTTGCTGTGATAAACTAAACATTGCATGGCACCTTTTTGTACTGTTGCTTTTCATCTGTAGTTTATGAATATAAATCGAGAGGAAAAAGTACTGTATCTTAAGGTCATCTTTCCATTAACTCATTTCCCCCCACTTTTATCATTTTAATAGGTAGAAATTTGTATCCTTACTCAAAATTAGTGAAGATATTATAAGCTGATTCCGTGGTAGGCGAAGTTAGAATTTTAGAAAAGACACAGAAGATGTATACTGTTTTACTTGTATTCTGTTACTGATGTAATGTTCTTTGTTTTCCTTTCCAGTTCTTTAATCAGGTGCTTATGCTTGGGAAAACTTCTATCAGTGATCTGTCAGAGCATGTCTTTGACTTAATTCTGGAGTTGTACAATATTGACGGTCATCTCTTGCTTTCTGTTTTACCGCAGCTTGAATTCAAACTTAAGGTAAATATACTATGTTTGTTTTAGACAGTCTTAAAATGGAATTTTTTTCTCTGAATATGGGCTATGTAATATTTGATAGTTCGCCATGTCTAATTTGGAATTAAATGTCTTTTTTACTGTCACATCTAAGTAACTCAAAACAACCAGTTCATAAGAGTAAATATATAAGAAGACTAATCTGAAAGTTGTAGAAAAAATGTAATTATAGAAGTTATTTCACAGAGTAATTAGAAAAGACTGCATTTATAAGTGTGATTCACATGTTTCATACAAAAAGATAACTTATTTCCAGTTTTTTGTCATTGGCATTGCACGCTACTGTTTATTTAAATGCTTATGCTGTGATTCACAAATTTTAATAGATTGAAAATCATGTCACTTAATGGCATACTATGCCCTTGTATATAGTAATTAAAAAATTTGAGTGGAGAAGAGTGGAATTTCTGGGCATATGTCTGGCCAACATTAAAATATTGTGTAGCTGTCACTAGATTGGGAAACATTTGTTATCCTTTGTGGTTGGAAAACAGCAACTTCTTTACTGTAACTTTCTGGAAATTTAAGAATTAATGTCCATTTTACTGCATTTTCATTATTGTGGTCATCCCTGAGCATTATGCTCCCCCTCTCTGGGCTACTTTTTGCCTCACTGTCGGTCTTCTCAAATTTATATTAGAAAGGGATGTGGGTGCTGAGCTGTTCTTCCTCCCCCCCCCCCCCCAATCTTGCTTGAGTAAGCAGCACATCTTTTTTCAGGTTTTATTTTATTTTAAAAATGTGTCAAAATGATAGTCTCACGAATGGGGGAAAAATAGGCCTTATTTTTAAAATTGTGAGGCCTATGGTCAGTATTTTTTACCATGGGTCAGGTCTTCTGTATTACTCATTCTACTTCCTCATGCTTGAATTGGGAAAGTCCTGGAAGAAATGTTTAAGGTCTGAATAAAAAGGCACTCTCATTGTGGGCTTGGGGTGTAATGTTTTTCTCCTTCTTCTCATAATACTGCCTCTGTCCTATCCATTTCTGATCTTGTCTATCACCAATGCTTTTCTCTATTATTCTGCATAATAAGGTCCACAGATCCTAAATAATGGGTCTTCAACCAATTCTGAGCTTAGGAAACAGACCAGAACAGAATAGGAGTGTCTGTCCCTGACAAGCCCACAATCCACAGCTGTAGGCAGTCTAACCAGGTCTTCCCATTGCAGTGTGTTAAATATGAGAGCCTGGTAATGTCTGATGAGCTTATGAAGAAGCAAAGGTTAAAGCTGCTATTCTTATTTTTCTCTTCTGATGGGAGTGTCTGAAAGGAGCAGTCACACCCATCCTCAAAGCCATGAGCTGACAAAACAAGAAAGAAGCCACAGTGGACCAGAAACTCAAACAGATAGGGGGAAGCTAGTGGTAATATACCTTAACTGAGAGGGAGTCCTCACAAAGTAGCATTAGCCAAAGATGCATCTCAAAGGGCAGGAAGATGATTGGACTTGCCTTACCAGCCACAGCTGGTGGCTGTGTTGACCTTTTGTCATTGCCTATTCCTCCCCTGCCTTCCTGAATCAGGAACTTCCATCTCCCAGGAGCCAGATCACCAAAGACCAAGCTTTGTGTCCTTTTTAAAAAAAAGGAACTGAGAGTGTGAGCCTAAGGAATCTCCTCTGTCTCCAGTAAATATGGAAAGCCCTTTCTTTGTCACCTTTGACGATATGTGTACAATGCAATTAGACAGCTGTGGCAGGCTGTGCCAGCTGACTCTGGCTAAGGGGCTGTGTGGGTGGGGTGGACCAGGCTCCGAGGCCCCATGTTGGAGGCCTTGCGGCCTTGCCACAGCGGGCCCTAGAAAAAGGCAGTGGAGAGGATCCTTCAAGCTGTTTGGCAATATCCCACACAACCACTCCAATCAGAAAGGGGCTGCAGGGAGCAGCCAATCAGGGCCCACCATGCTAGTATAAGAGCAGCTGCAGAGGCAGAGTGAGATCAGTTCCTTGCTGGAGTTGAAGGAGTTTGGCTGGTGTGCCTAGCTGGCTGAGGGAGCTACAGGACCTTGGACAGAGCAGTGCTGGCAGGGACCCAGAGGAGCGAGACGGAGCTCTGGGTTGCGGCTGGGACTCAACCAAGATAAGGCCCTGAGATAAGGGTGAAGAATGTACTGGGGCCACAGGGAAGTGGCCCAGAGAATCATAGCAGCAATGCATCTCAGTTAAAGGGACATGGCGGACAGCTGCTATCTTTAGGGCCCCTGGGCTGGGACCCAGAGTAGAGGGTGGGCTTGAGTTCCCCACACCAGCCACTGGGAAAGTGGCCTGAACTGTGCACCCCAAAAGGGAACTGAACTTTTTTAGGCCCAGAGGGGGTGAGGACATTGTCTCTAGGGAGGGAGCCCTGGAGGATAGCTCAGTGCCAGGGTCAAGGCCATTTTGAAGACTGCTGGACTAATAAAGGGCCGGAGCCCAGGGAGAGCGACAGGGAAAGAAAGGCCTATAGAGAGTACTGGGATAGGCCCCCCTTTTGGACTGTTTTCCCCCATTTTACATACAAACTGTGTGTAACTCTGGCTGGAAGGCTGAGCAACCGAAGACCCACCACAAACTCAGAGTGTAGGCACACGCAATTGGACAGCCGGCACTTGTGAGAGGTGAGTGCGATCCCATGACAAGCTGTTTAATTACGGTGTAGTCATTTGGGCTCGGGCTGTATCCCGAGCTCTGGGGTCCTCCCACCTCTTGGGGTCCTAGAGCCCAGGCTCCAGCCTGAGCCTGAATGTCTACACTGCAGTTCAACAGCCCCTTAGCCTGGGACCCGCAAGTCTGATTTTATTTTATTTTAATTACAGTGTAGACATACCCTCAGGCAGATGCTGATTTGAAGAAAAAGAAATCCAAGACCAGGGGAAGACTGCTTCTGAGAAAAAGCAAAGATGTCCAAGATTCCATTAAAACTAAAGAATAGTTATCTTTTCCTCTAGTTTTAATTCCATACCAGAGGAGGAATTAGCCCCAGATACATTGATAAAATATGTGGTATACTGCAGATCAAAGAGAAAACACCAGAGCTTCTCCCTTAGCCAGTTATTTATATTTAAATGGCCAATGACATAAACTGCAATTTTATAGGTCATCAAATTCTAAGAAAAAGTCTTTGAGACCTAAAAAGGGAAAGAATACTTTCCTCTCCTTCTGGAAGGCCAGTGATCTTATGCTAGGCAGAAACCTTAGAAGGAGAGAAGGTAAGACATCTTCAGTTAAAAATGTTTTTAAAACTCTACTCACATGGTTAATTACCAGTCTAGATCTTTTCCCCTAACAGTCTGACAAAGGAAGAGAAATGGGAGGAGGAAAATACAAAAGGATCAGACAACTCAGAAGTATTTTTCATCTGCATCTAAAACACCTGTGTCCCATAGCTGTCTATAGAGAATGTTATCCAAGAGGAATGGGCATACTGTGCTAAATCTAAGTTGTTGGAGAACCTTTCCAAAAAGTTTATATTATCGATCAGAGCAAAGGACCCCATGTGCTCCATTGCAACAACCACTGAATGCTGGTGCAAATTAATTTTTCTCTCCACGAAGTTCCCTGCATTGCCATTCCTTGCAGCCCTCAAGAACATGCACAACTATGGCTCATAGTTATTGATGTAAAGTTCAGAAATGTAATTATTTCTGAGGATGAGGTTGTTTTGCTGTGCTCTCCAGGTGGCTTAGATCCACTCACCAGGTCTTGGTCCTGCAGTATTGGCCAGGAGGCTGGGCTTAGATTTTCCATTCAGTCTCCCATGTGTCAAGGAAGAGTTTATGGGCAGTTTTGTGTCCAGTTCTGTGTTAATGCTATGTCAATCCAGCCTGATTCAGAAGATCAGGAAGGAGAAATCAATTATACTTCTAATTGCCCCTCGCTGTTCAAGGCAACCTCATTTCTGTGATGTAAGCAATATGTCAGCTAGCCTGCTCATCTATTTCCATTGCAGAAAATACCTGTTGTTGTCACATGGACTCATTCTACATCAAGATGCAAAGGGGGGCTGTGTACAAACTTGCACTGAAATAACAAGGTGTGAATTAAAACCAGATTAATTATTTTCAGTGCAAGTTTGTCCCTGGACACTTATTTGGAATAGAAGTGGCTAAAATCAATTTATCTAATCCACATATATTCCAAAATGTGTCCAAAGAAAGACTTGCACCCAAGTAAATAAATAAGTTTAAGGAGACATTTCATGATTTGGGGGCTAGTCTGTGTGTACACCAACCGTAAATGTAGCTGCTTCAATTTTGAAAGGAGAGAGTTAAAAAATAGAGGCTATTAACATGTTAGTCTTGCCAAATTACTGGTATCAAGGAATGCATCAACATATTCTGTAACTTAGTCTCAATTCAAATTTTGGTGTAAAGGCCAGGATATTTTTTCCTATAAGCCCCATGGTCAACACTTGTTTTAATTTCTGCAAAATGGGCTCACTAGGGATTTTAAAACTCCAAATTTAACTTCAGTTGGAGGCTATATTTCAGCATTTGTGTGTCAACAGGCTTTTCACCCATGTATCAGAAAATTGTATAGTGAGCATGTCCAATTATTATTCAGAAAAATCATAGAACACAGCCATAAGAGCTGAACGTTTTCCTGAATACTCTCACTAAGCACCAATTTAGAATCTCTGTTGAAGTCTTTACTTCTTATCAATGAAAATAATTTTCTTTTAGTCATCACCTTGTCAAGGAGGGTATCTGAAGTAGGGGCATTATCCATTGAACCTTAACATTGTATACTTTGCAAGTAGAAGGTGGTTCTTGTCATTAATGTGGAGTTTATTCCTAAAACCGAATATCCAGTTTTACAGATTGAAGGAAGTTCTCTTTTCTAAGATCTTTTCATCCTCCGGAAAAAGCAACGGCATACCCTCAGTTTAAGATGAAATTACATAGATCATAATCAGACCTTCCTAAATAAAACTCTTTTTGTACTTTATCACCCAGTATATAGTGTCAAGAAAGCCTTGGAAT